TTTCTGCCTTCCAGATAATTTTTGTGTGTTTTGAGACTTTGGTTCATCAGTCTGAAGACCTCTAGGATTATGACATAATTGGAAAAACAGCTCTGGCTAGTTACCTAGTGCTCTTTCTCAACATTCTCCAGGGAGGGGAGGGAGACATATATGTATTCCTACTTTGCATCAACTGGATATATAAGCTTCACGGTAAATGAGAATTGCATTCACAGTTCCCACAGTTATCTTGGAATTTGACCATAACATAACAATGAATAGACTGCCCTCTTGCTTTTTTTTTGTGAATGCACAAAGTACTTCCGATCCCTGGGCCTGCATCTCCATGTCCCCACACCGTATTGACATCTTCAAACCAGTTCTCCCCTCCCTACCTCTGCTCCGGGGTTCCAGAAGGAGGAGCTCTTTTCATAGATCAGCTACAGTCATATTTCTTGGCCGTCGCCCCTCTCCCCCTGACCGAGGTCTACTTCTTTATGGAGAAATGTTCTAACTGTTCATGTGGACAGCAGAAGAAACGTGTTTACTGGCTGCAGAGGGCAGGTGTTGGCAGGAAGTCTGGTTTCCTGGGAGGAAGGGACTCACTCATTGTGGGCTTCCTTTAGACACCCCCTCATCCTGGCCGTCTGACTTTCAGTTGGCTATTCCCCTCGGCACCCCCATTTCTTCTCTTCCTGATGGTGCCAGCTCTGCTGCGTCTGTGTGCATTGTCTTCAGGCCCTCGTGGGTAGGGCTGCGCTGAGACGGTCTTCTCCTGCCTCCTCTCTGCTGGGAGCTGTTTATCCCATTTTCTGCCTGTGCCCCCACCTTTTCCACCCGCTTTCCTCCCTGCAGCATCGCTGTCTAGAAAGTTAGCAGGAATATGCTGAAACGATTATCGGTGGATTTTAAACCTAAGTCTAGTTGGGGTGGAATGCAAAGTTAGGAAACAAAGCCTTAACCCGCAGCCAAGGGATGAAGCCAGAACCAGCAAAGGAGCAGAGAAAATTCTCATCAGCCTTGTCCATGTGAAAGGCTTGTTCTTTGTTTTTCTCTAGATTGTTTCTCAATGGGCCAAAGTTAAGTCTACGTTCTCTTATTTCATCTCACATGTATTATAATTGGAGGAAGTTTGAGGCCTTCTCTTTCCTCGAAAGGAAAGCTCTAAGCTACGCTTGCTGGAGAAGCCATGTGCTTATTCAGTGCCTGCTTTTACTGCCCCAGTCCTCCCTCCACGCTGACTCTGGCCTGCTGCATAGCAGACACATGCAGAAGGTCCCCCTCTCCCCTCTACAGCAGGGTCTGAGACCATGTCCAGGCTCCAGGGCCAGAGGGCTACTGTGGAAGACTGGTGTCCCATGCAGCGCCTGCAGAGGGCCTTCCACATCTTCACATTCGTCCAGTCCATGCACGTCTTTGATCAGTCTCTACCATGTGTCAGGCACTGTGCTTGGTGCATCCGTGAACGACACAAAGATCCCTGCCCTCATGGGGCTGACAGTCCAGTGAGTGGAGGCAAGCTCATGAGAAAGGTTGCTAGGAGGTAACAAGCCCTATGGAGAAAATAAGTCAAGCAGGATGGGCGAGCCGGGGTGCTCGTGGTGATAGTGGGCTGGGGGATTTCTATATCAACTTAATCAACTATGTGATTGCATAATTATATAATAATTAAATGTTCACTAATTTAATATTACATGTCCAGGATAGACTTCATTACAGAGAAGAGATCTGTGCTAAGGAGAGATGACCGATGGAGTTCACAAAGTGGTATCTGGGTAAAGAACGTTCTAGGCTGAGAGAATAGTCAGTGCAAAGGCCCTAAGGCAAGAGTGTGCTTGGACTGTTTGAGGAGCACCAAGGGAACTCTGTGGCCAGAGAGAGAATGGGTCTCCAGATCACATAGGACCTCATAGGCCGTTGTGTGGGCTTTGGCTTTGACTGTGAGTGAGCTGGAGCCACTGCAGGGTTTGAGCAGAGGGGTGACAGGATCTGACTTGTTTTTTAAAATGGTTACTCTGGCTGGTTTGAGAGCAGATTGGGAGGCGTAGGAGTCAAGGGGAGAAGTAGAGAGTAGACCTACTGGGAACAATAATCTAGATGGGAGATGGTGGGGGCTTAGACCACGGTAATAACAGTGTAGGCAATGAGAAATTGCTGGGTTCTAGAAATGTTTTGAAGGTAAACCCATTACTGTCAAGCTGAGTCTGACTCATAGTGACCCAATAGGACAGAGTAGAACTGCCCCATAGAGTTTCCAAGGAGCGGCTGGTGGATTTGAACTGCCAACCCCTTGGTCAGCAGTTGTAGCTCTTAACCACTACGCCACCAGGGTTTCCATTTCGAAGGAAGAACCAACAAAATTACTGACAGATTGGATGTGGAGTATGAGAGAAAAAGAGGAGTCAAGGAGGACTCCAAACTGTTGTTATTAGGTGCCATCAAGTCAGTTCCAACTCACAGTGACCCCATGTACAACAGAACGAAACACTGCCCAGTCCTGCACCATCCTCACAATCGTTGTTATGCCTGAGCCCATTGTTGCAGCCTCTGTGTCAGTTCATCTCATTGAGAGTCTTCCTTTTTTTCGATGACCCTCTACTTTACCAAGCATGATGTCCTCCAGTGACTGATTCCTGGAAGTCATTAAATCCTGGAAAGGATTAAGCAACTGGAAGGGTGGAATTACCACTGAAACAGGAAAGGCTGCTGGTGCAATAGATTTGAGGGGGAGGATCGGCAGTTTGGTTTTGGACATGTTGAGTAGGAGACCGCTATGAGAAATCTAAGTGTAATTGTGTAGACCAGGCAGTTAGATATACCAGTCGGGACTCTGGGAGGAAGCTCTGTGCTGAAGCTATGAATCTGGGAGTTACAATTCATGGGAATGAATGAGCTCACCAATGGAGCAAGCAGAGATGGAGAGAAGAAGAGCGTCAGCAGACACTTGATGGCCTTATCAAGGACAGCACTCACCAAGATCAAGTTAACCAGAAGTTTGAGACTTGGAGCTTATCTGCAGCCAAACACCCAGTCTGTGTTGAGCTGGTCTGCTTTAGTTAATACATTAATTTAAGAACCTAACACTGAGATACAAAAAAACAAAAAACCATTGCCATCAAGTCGATTCCAACTCATAGTGACCCTATATATTATCTAGAAGATTGGGCCTGCGTCACTGATAATGAATTTGGCTTTTTATTCTTTAGGAGTTTCTAATTAAAGGAAGCAAGTTGGAAAGGAATGACTATTTTAGGACTTATTCTGCCTGCAATATTTTATACTTAAACAGAATTGACTGTTTTTGAAATAAAAGTTTGGAAAGACTTTTCTGTACCAATTAGCAAAGTCCAGCTTTACGATAGTTAGACAGACCTCCTCTCTAACTGTGACAAGGGTGAATAAAAACTGCCTTTTTAAAAAATTTTTTTAGTAACTTCTATGTACCAAGCTCGGGGACCCAGTAGGTGTTTTATCTACATGTTGTTTTTTCATTTATGGGAAAAATGGGGTTTTAACCCCTTGGTAAGTCAGGAAACTGCTATCTGTCAAGACTGAGTCGCTTGCCCAAGCTGTCACAGAGGGGGGACCCTGTGACCCCTTAGTCTGTGTTCCTCCTCTGCTCTGCCCCACCTCCCCCATATCAGCCTGTTCTCACTGGCTGGGGACAGAGCACCTCCAAACTGCAGATACCCGAGATGGTGTTAAGAAAGGTCACCTTCACAATCAGTGTCTGGCAGTCCTGGGCCCCTCTCTTTACAGGCATAAGACATTTGAGAAAACTGAGCGGTCCTCCTTGAAAAACCTTTGGTGCTCTAATGGTCCCCAGCATGTTGTTCCCACCCCAGCATACATACAAGAAGGTTATGATGCATTCCCGCTGGCAGCAGTGGCTCTCTGCCTGAGACCCTCCCCTGGGCCCATCCCCCCTGGTGAAATCAGCATATTGGGGGTGGGGGAAGAGATGACACCTTGTGGAGAGCCCCTACCTTGTTAAAAAACACAACAGAAAAAAAACTCCTGTTACAATGTGTAGAGTATTCTAAAAGTGAAGAAGGATGAAAACGGTGAACGCGAAAAAAGAGTCTCGCTCCCACTCCCGATTCCTGGTCCTGTATTGCCCTCTCCTGAGGCAGCACTGTTTCCAGCTACTTCTGGATCTTTCCAGAGACGGTCTGCGCGTACGAGCGTTTCCTGAGAAAGTGGGGCTGTCTCGCTGTCCTGATTTTTGCTTTGTTCACTAAATGATGCATCTTGGAGATTATCCCGCATCTGCACAAGAGTATCTGCCCATTGTTTTTAACTGCTGCAAAGCATGGGTGTAATTGACTTGACTAGTCCCCTATTGATGGACAGTAGACAGTTTCCAAGCTTTTGATGTAACAATGCCACAACAAGCAACTCAGCCCAGCGTATACCTCTTTAGATGCCTTGCCTTATTAGAGGTATACACAGTGACCCAGTAGATTATTTCCTAGTACATTTCTTGGCATCAGTATGGTTTCTCTCCCAAAACGTTTCTGCAATAACAATACCTAGCATTTGTTAAATGCTTACTATGTATGACACTGTACCGAACACTTTGAATGAATTACTCCCTTTAATCTTGTGAGTAGAATATATTTTGACCTCAATTTTATAGATGAGGTGAGACAGCTTATAAGTGGCAGAGGTGACATTTGAACCCAGGTAGTCCGGTCCCAGAGTCTATGCGCTCAGCCACACATTCCATTACCTACTGTAGAGAAAGCAGAGACCAGAGAGCACCATCTCTTTAAAAGTCAAATAAATGAGAGCAGGGTGTATCAATGGCGTTCCTAACTGAAGTCTTAGCAGGAACGGTGATAGCATATTGAAAGCTACGAGATAATCCAGGACGCAGGCCACCAACCTCTCTCCTGACACCGGGCATTGCATCCCCATTCAGCCTAGCTCTTGAAGAGACTCATGGGGGTGGTAGAAGTCACTGTGTTAGATTTGGGACTTGGCAGATATTATGAGCACAACTCTCATTTTATTTTTAGTAGAAACAAAAGTATTTTCTGGAAGCATCAAGAAGCAACAAGAAGAACCGCGTAAGATTTTGTCTGCTCCCCCAGTAGAACAGAAGCCTGTTAAAGATTTCCTTCCCGATGGGGATAGCTCTCCAAAAGGGGACTGTCAGTCTAGCAACCTCTCTGAGCCCACAGAGAGTCAACATCAAAGCTTCCCAGGACCCAGAGCCCCTCTGGCTGGGTTTCTCTGCCCCCTAGAAGATGTGTACACACCTCCGCAGGACACCAGAGGTGCTCAGATAAAGAGAGAGGAGCTCCCCAAAGGTAAGGAGTGAGGGAGGCAGGGCTGAAATGATGCCTTCTTGTGATATGCGTATGGAAAATGGCATGGTGTCTTTTCCTGGGGCCTGTTTCACACAAGCTTGCCATACGAGGCTTCCCCTTCTCCAACCATGAGGGTGGAGGAGGAAGTGGGCCCAGCAAGGTGTAAATGGTGGCATGTCTACTTCCCCAGCACCAAGAAGCTAGCCCCGTGTGGGTCAGGGATCCCCAGCCCTACAGCCTGAGTGTTACAAAGAGGCCACCTCTGGCGGAGATAAGACCCTAGACCTGGCCAAGGAAGATTTGAGACCCTAGTGGTGTTGCCCTGAAAATAGCAGGTCCTGCACGTTAACTGTAGTCCCCTAAAGTAGCTAGCAGTGGTAATGGCGGAGGGTCTAGGGCCCTACCAGGTACCAGACACTTTGCAGACGCGCTCACTTTACCCCGCAATGCCCATGAGGTGAGTCCCCTTCTCAGCATCATGTTACAGAACAGGCAACCAGCCATCATCTCTCTTGAGGCCAAAGAGTGCGGTGACCGTGAATACACAAAAGAACCGAGGACTAAAATGCGAAAACAATGTCGGTGGGGAAATGTAGATTTCCTGTCATTCTAAATATCTTCTCAAAGAGCAGAGGGCAGAAAGAAAGATACCAGAGTAAGTGCCTTTGAGCTGTAAATGATAAAATGATATGGTAATTGATAAAGAAAAATAATTCTACCTTAAGCCCATGTTATTCCCTAGCTCTTCATTCATTAGTCCATTAAGTAAGCATTTATTAAGCACCTACTGGATGCTAGGCACTGTGTTTGTGCCTGCCCTCCAGGCTCTCACAGTCCAGTATAAGAGATAGTTGACCTCATAACCTGCATCTTTGGGATAGGCTCTTGGGAAGCAGAGGACAGCTCCTGAGGCCCTGAGGAGGGGCTGGCCAGAGACCTCCAGGAAATGATTTTGAGCAGGAACGTGAACCTTGATTTGCAGTTCAAAAATCAGAGCAGGGGGAGAAGAGCATTGCAGGCTGCAGGAAGACACAAAAGCTGGGGCTGATGGAAAGACAGTAGCTGATTCGGGGAACTGCAGGCCTGGGAAGGGCAGAGCACAGAGGGAGGGGCTGCAAAGGAGGCTGGGAAACTGCATGGTCAAGTTGGGATGGTCCTCGGGAGCCGCCTGAGCGAGGGTGGACTGTAGGCAGGGCCAAGCCCTGCGCACTGAGATTTGGAAGTGTCTCACGAACATGGTGGAGGACAGATGGAGGATTGCATGGCTGGGGAGGTGAGACCCAGCAAGAGGTGAGGAGGGGCCGCAGGAGTGCAGACAGTGTCATTCGGGAGGCAGGGCTCAGTAGTAATTTTCAAGACATAACTGACCTTCGTTAGGAGCAGTAACGAGGGAGGTGTGTTAGGCCTGGCCCTCGGGTTGCAGGCTCTCTGGACAGAGTGGATAATGGAGAAGGATGTAAACCAATCGGCTTCCCCGCATATAGGGTGAGCCAGAATAAACGTTCCCCAGAGAGATGGAAACAGTATGGCAAAGGCATCATTCACTCTGAGTGGAGGGGGTGGTGGTGGAAGATGGTGTCTGGTTAGACCTGGGGAGGGGGCATCAGGAGAATCTGGGGAGAGAATTTTCAAGAAGGACCATGAACAAATGATTAGGAGATGAAAGAATGATCTGAGAACCTACACGTAGTGTGGTGTCAGTGGGCAATCAACAGTGACAGCAGAGGGGGAGTGTCCACCATGAACCAGGCAGGAGAAGCCTGGTCTGCTTGGACTTGTGGGTAGTAGGGAGCTCTTGGTGGATGTTGAGAGAGAACAGTGGTCCAGGCCAGAGAGCAGCCAGGAGGTTCAGATAGTCACATGTCTTGTGGCAGGTGAGCCTCCGTGGTCACCTCTGCACTCCCAATGGAACTGGCTCCTGGAGGTAGACCCCAGTCCTTTCGGACACCGCCCTGGCTCTGTGGAGAGACACAGGCGAACACGACGTGGCCCAGCCCTGGAGGGAGTTACAGGCGTGTGGGGTGAAAACATCATCACTTCAACCCCACCCAGTAACTGACGCTACTGCAGTGTGTGGGGTGTGTCCCCATCAGTTCCCCAAAGAAGCAGCGCTGATCCTATCCTGGGAAGGTGAGGAAGCCTCCTGGAGGATCTGGACCCAGCCTGGAGGTGGGAGGTCGCTGGGTGGCGGACTCCGAGGGGCTTTGTGGAGGTGGGCGAGCACGCGGGCTGAGGGTGAGAAAGACGCTCTTGGTTTTCAGAACTGGGAGTGGTTGGGAGGCCGTGACTGGAGGTGGAGAGGGTGCAGCGGAGAGAGTGGGTGTTTAGTCCAGAGGGTGGCCTGGAGGTAGATTGAAAGGACATTGCATTGGGATTCTTCCTGGGGTCAGTAAGTGATCAATGAATACTTATTAATCCCCCATCCCCGATGCCCCCAACTCTTGGAGAGAGACCTGAGGTCACTCCAGGCTGCCCTGCCTAGGGTGGTATTGAACCAACTCATTCCTTGACTTTTTCCACAAAGGAACGTCAAAAACGGACCCAGGAAGAGGCCACAGCATTGAGGGAGAAGCAATTCCAGTTACTAATGTAAAGCCACAGTGGTAGCCTCTGTCAAATTCAGGGAAGGGAGAAATAATTGAATACAATTCCTCCATCCATCCTGCATCATTAGCGCAGCCAACGTGAGACAGAGTAATATACTGTCCCCGAGCAGCTGAACTGTGAGAATTGTACAGGACACACTTAACACGACGCACAGAAGTTTCTTTTCCTTGCACGCACAGGCATTTCAGACGCCAGAAGCCGAGGGGACACCTAACCAGTGTAATTAGTTAGTCACAAAGCCTGGCTGGGTGTGAACGCACCTCCCCTCAACCGGGGCAGCCGGAAGGGCCTGTGATTAGGCAGGATCTCGTTGGCTTAACGAGGCCCATTAATAACCCACTGGCATTTCTGTTTTCAAAATTGTCTTCTGTGTCTAACGGTGCTCAAGAGCCAGGTGAAAATCCTTTGGTGCCCTCTAAATGGAGCTCCCACTCTGCTCTCCTAGGAAATCATAGGTGCTGTGACTTGGTTGTCAAAATAAAGGAATGCAAGAAGAGCGAGGATGTGACCATGCCCCAGCCCTCACCAGCCTCCCTGGAGACAGCTCCCCCCGAGGAGCCAGACACCCCGGGCCTGTCAGAAGACTGCTCCGAGCCTCAGCAGACACCTGTCAGCGCCTTGACCTTGCAGGTAAGCTCTCCTGCCATGTTGGCTTGACCCCGGCCGGGGGAGGTGTCCCCAGGAGTCAGTGGACGCGCAGCCTCATGCGCGCTCCAGAGGCTAGAGCCCGCCCATTCCACCTCACAGTGCACTGGGGCTCTGGGTGGGTCCCTACCCCTTCCGGACCTCCGTTTCACCGTGTGAATGGGTGAGTCCCTAACCCTTCCGGACCTCCGTCTCACCATGTGAATGGGTGGGTCCCCTAACCCTTCCGGACCTCCGTCTCACCGTGTGAATGGGTG